GGCGGTCGCTTGTTTCGGGCAGCTAAAAGGACACCACTAAAATGGAACAGAAACTGCCAGAAAACCAAAGCCCATTTTAGGGGGTCCAAGTGTTTTAGCCAACCCAAAACAATCAAAGGCCACTTCTTGCGATCCATGGGGGGACAGGTGCGGAAAAGGACATGCCGAGAAGGATCTATTTAGTGATTCGCCTTTGAGCTTGTTCGAATTTTGGTGCCCACCGAGAAGGGGAGTACTCCTTTTGCTTGGTTGGATTTGGAAGGAACATGTTTGAAGGCAACCAATAATGTTTGGAGCTCTTTGAACATGCTTTCATTTTCCAAAGAGACCCCTAGACAAGACCCGCCCGGCAGACATATACGACAAATATTGGCCTTCCGGGCTTACCAGCTTTTTTGTGGGGTATATTCTTCAACTAGGCCGGTTGCTGCCTAGCGTTTCCCTGGAAACCTGTTTTCCGGCACTGGCTGAGTCTTCAAAAGGTGCCCCTCCTTCCCTTCACTTGATCCCTTCAAGGGGTGCCGAACCTTTAGAGGGCCCCAGCCTTCCGATTCGGCCCCTTGCTCGGGATTGGACGCTTGCGCTGTCAACACCTTAACCAACCCAGTGCCGCCCTTTTTGCCTTTTTCTCTTGGGAAGGTTCCGATTCCTTACTGGGCATCTGAGATCTAAGATCCTGGCCTTTGCCCCTTCACAATCTTCCGACTCCAAAGCCTTCCGGAATCAGACTAGTGCCCGTGCATCGACTCTTTGTTTTTGTTCGCCAATGGTTCCCGGATCCGGTGTTGTTTTTCTTCCTAGGGCTGTTGTTTTTTTCTTTTTTACTAGGGCTGGTCCCCTGGTTGGTTGGTTGGTTGGTTGGTTGGTTGGTTGGTTGGTTGGTTGGTTGGTTGGTTGGTTGGTTGGTTGGTTGGTTGGTTGGTTGGTTGGTTGGTTGGTTGGTTGGTTGGTTGGTTGGTTGGTTGGTTGGTTGGTTGCTTCCCCAACAGCTGAAAGCTTTGGATTTGGTTGCCCGGAAATCGGCTCGTTCCGGTTGCAGCTTTCAGGGACAGGGAAGGGACTGCGGCGGGGTCCCGATAGCACCTGACCGTCCAAACCGCAAATGGTAGCTGTTTAAGGGGCTCAAGCAAGAACGACACGTTTAGGACAGGCGGTTTGGGTTGCGGGGCTGGGTCCCGATACCGCCTGCGATTGTCTTGCTGTGATTTGCAGGGATGATTTAAATGATTTAAATGCGATTTGGCTTCCTTTTTTCTTTTGGAACCCCCCAAAACCGGTTCATTCACCACGACCAGAAAAATGGAAAGGACTGATTTCGTTTCGCACAGGTCCACGCACACATGGCCAGCGAGCCCTGCTCGGATCACGTGCCGCTGGTGGCAGGGGTCCCAGGATGTCCCAGGGCCCCTCGATTTGGAAGCCAACCGGGGGATGGAAAAATGGATTGAATAATTAAAGGCCATCCGAAAGGAACGTGTACGCATGCATATCCTTGGTGCATTTTGCCAAGGGCTGTTAGGACTTTAACTTTTTGCCAACTCAGGGGGTTTTCCGTATTAAACCACTAAAAGTCAAACTTTTTGCAGGGGAGCAGAAAGCAGCCGAGATATATGTATATACATATATACATATTACGGGTGTGGAATATAATTAGGGGACCCCAAAAGTGATGGTTTTCCTTTTGATGCTGGCGTCCCTTAAACCCCAATCCAGCCGGGGTCCGAAAGCAACATCTTTATTGATATACGTGTATGTATGTGGTTTTAAGGCCCAGTTCCTCTTTCTTTTTTTTAAAGGGGATGTGCTTTGTCTTTCCCGCCAAGAGTTCTGTTGAACGCCACGCCCAAAAGGAGAACCACCCGCTTTGGGAAAATTGTTTGAGTCTCCTGGACCGAAAGGGGCTGAAAGTCGAATGCACGGAACTGAGTCTCACGTGCCGGCCCAGAGCGAATGGACCTTTGGACCTTTTTTTCCGTTTCCATTGGACCTTTGGACCTTTGGACCTTTGGACCTTTGGACCTTTGGACCTTTGGACCTTTGGACCTTTGGACCTTTGGACCTTTTTTTCGTTTCCCCTTTGGACGGTCCCATTTTTCGTCACCAAAAGGTCGCCTGGCCCAAACTGGGGTGAGGAGAAGCGAATCCACCGGACCGATCTGACCTCTTGGTTACTAGGTCCCCCCAGCTCGGTGCCCTTTCTCACCAACTTTTTTGGGGGAGGGTTCCCCTGCGAAAACCGACTACAGGAAAAAGTTGGTACCCTTATTATCTTTGCTTTGTGGCTCCCTGAGCAACTGAGCCATTGACTCTCCACCATACCATCAAGAAATGCGGGGTGGCGGGGGTTACTCATCAAGTTCTCTTTGGGGAAATCAATGAATATTGACTATGGCTCATACCAATACGTCACTTGCCCAAAGAGACCGGTCCTGATTTGTTTTCGCCTGTCTAGGTTCCAAATTGTTGACATGTTATGTCCGGGTTCTTTGGGTAGGTGAAGTACGTAACTTGGTGCTTTTCAGCCGAGGGCTCCTTAGACTTTCAGATTCTTTTAGATGTTCAACATTCAGAAGGATTCATGACGCATCCCGCTTTAATCACAAGGGATCAAGGAACCATCAAGAAGTCTATGTCATTTCAAGTACCTTTCACTTTATGTGTATTCGGAGTTGTTGCTACTGTGATTATGACAGTGGACCGTTTTTGTGAGGTTGTGATTTGCTTACGGATCTCATTTCTGCCACACGAAGTGTGATTTTTTGAGTTTTGAGTCGGGGGCCCCTTGGACGGAAATTCAGAATGAAAACTCAATGAGTTGATCTTCAAGCCGAAAATCCAACTCAAATTTCCAGCTTTGCTTCATTCAGCCGGAAACAACACGAACCCGGCACCACCTCAAGCGAGTGGGAAACTGAGGGTCATGACAAGTGGTTGAAGGGAGCCTTGGAACAAAAGCAATGGCCTCCTAAAGGATGGAGCATGGGAGAAAGGAAGGCCGGGAGGCAGGCAGTGAGGGAGGGAGGGAGGGAGGGAGGGAAGGGAAGGGAAGGGAAGGGAAGGGAGGGGAGGGAGGGAGACAGGCAGTGAGGGAGGGGAGGGAGGGAGACAGGGAGGCAGGGAGGCATGGTTTTATGAAGGGCAAGGAAGGAACCTGGGATGGCCCAGATTGATTTTTCCTTACCTCAATCAAGACCCTGTCTGAATTGTGTGGTCAGGGCACACGCGTGTTCTATCCACTGCCAAAGCTCCTCGTCTGTTTTTAGTTTCCGTGGTTTTGGGTAGACTCTTTTAATGCCATACATTGATTTCTGAATCCACACGTCATGATTGGCAATACGACCCCTGTGATCGATCGACCGTCGTACCATTTCCTTGCGGTTTGCCTAAGCCAGCAAAGGGTGTACCCTCAAAAAGACGATCCACCCGATTCGACAGGTCGATCCCGATCTCACGCCTATTGTTCCCCCGTTTTCCCCATGTCCCAAACTCCGAGGCCCGTCCAAAGTGCTTGCAAACCAGCAGGAGGTTCGCGTTCCTTGCGGGTTGATTCTAACTTGTTGTCTTGCTCCCAGGACCCCCCCCTCCACAGGTCACTTTCAAGCTTCCCAGCGGCGAGTTTGAGATGAATTCGTAGACTCGCAGAGGGGCTGCCTGTTTGGCCGATTGGTTGGCCGATTGGTTGTTCGATCGGAAGGCCAACAAGGGGTTGTTTGGCGCTTTTTGGGCTCAAAACGGTTTTTTGGGACCCCAGTCACTGATGAGTCACTGATTAGTCGCCAGGCTGGGAATAGCTCCCCTTGCGAGGCTTTGCATGAGTATTTTTCAGCCAGGCGTGTCGGATACACAATGCCTGCGCCTGGCGTATCGAATTGATGGCATGGTCAAAACAGCTCCGAAGCTTTGGGTACGTCATGTCAAGCCTTGGGGTGTTGGATCGTCACAAGGCTGAAGGGAAGCGCGACACTGACGATAAGAAGTCTTTGGCACAGCTAAGACCAGCTCACGAAAATCTGACCCGGGATCAATGTCCCGGATGTGGAGAACCGGTTGCGAGACTAGGTCCCCCAGTGCCCTTCTCTCCCCTTTTTTGGGGGAGGGCTTACTAAAACTTGGACTACAGAAAAAGATCGGGTACGAACTTATAACCTCTCTGCTGGACCTAGGAGAACATAGCACACCCGAAAGGAACTCGGCGAAGCCGCAGCCCCGCCGGATTCCGATTCGGCGTTAAAAGCGCTTGCTTTTCCGCGAGCGGAAGAGAGAGCTTCGAGAGCCAAGTTGGTGAAATACCGGGGTTTTCCAAGGAGTACTTTGGTGCATTTTGCCAAGGGATGTTAGCACTTTAGCTTTTTGCCAACTAAGGCAGGCGGTTTTCCAACTAAACCGCGAAATAGCAAGACTTCTAGCAGGGGAGCAGAAAGCAAACCGAGAGGAGCCTTTGGAACTTCTGGGAGCCCTATGAACATGTTTGAAACCCCCGGTTGCCGAGGGCCTGAGAAGTTGAGCCGCCCGCGGGGTTTCCAGTTGCCCGGTGCAGGCCGGTGGCCATGTCAGGCCATTCCAACCGGGCGAGCCCCAGACACCGAGCCTGCAGCCTGTGTCAGTTTTCCGTGTTGAAACCCCTTTGCAGCAAGACTGGGGTGCCAAGGCTGGATTTAAAAAAAAACACGCTCACATCACAAAAGAGAAACCGTCTAAAGTGTAAAAAGAGAAGCTTCAAGCTTGAGGTTACCAACCTTGCCCAGGTGTCAAGGCCCGAAAAAACGGCATTTCAGGTCAACCATCCGAATCGAGTTTGCCCTCTCCCAACTTGTAATAGCCGGTGGTTTCCAAGCCGAGCCCAACACACCCAAAGCCAAAGAGAACCCCTTCAATTCCAACCCCTTGCAACCATAAACAAATCCAATACCCAGAGACCTACTTGACACAACCATCAAAATTCCCAAACCCAGAAACCGCCAGGATTCCCAAAAGAACCCAAACACCTACAGAGAAGCCTTTACCAACTCCAAGCCCAACCGAAAAACCGGTGCCACCGACCCATCAAAGGAGCGCTCGCGGAGCGCTCAGCGCCCCGCTCGCGGGCCATGGCGGAGCTCAGCCCCAAGCCCCCGCCGGCGCCGGTGCCCCCGCCGCGCCTCGGTGTGGAAGGGCCAGGGGTATGGAGCGCATGGAGCTCGACGGATGGCGCAGGGAGTGCCACCTTTCCTCGAGCTTATGGGTTTTCCACGGGTTTTCTGGGCAGCTTGGTGGCATGTGGGCCTGCGAAATTCCATTCTTTTTAAAACGATTGCTATACGATGTCCCATGGTTGTTTTTTGGGCCCACAGCCCACATGGGACATGGGGGGCGAAGCTGTCCATGTCATCTTTCCTTGAAGCCCAAACCGGGTTCCGAGTCTCCAATGTTTTCGCTAGGTCCCCCAGCCAGGTGCCCCTTCTCTCCAGGGTTCCCCCACTAAAATGGACTACAGGCAAAAAAATCAGGTACCCTGATTCGAACCTCTCTACTCAAGGACCTGGGAAGCTAGGGTTGGGTGAAAGGGAAGCCAACAGTACACCCATTTGGGTGTGACTCAAAATTTCAGAGGTGGGTTACGCAGGTTTTAAGTCTTTGCCTCCATTGGGTTTTAGTGCATGCCATTTTTTACCATGTTTTGAGCCACGGCCTGTCTCCTAGTGATCCGAAGTTTTGTAGTTTGTCTCATACCCCGAGCTCATGGAAGTGATCGTCACTTGTTTTGGGGGGGAATTGGACCATTCGAGTGGTAAACAAACAGCTCGGTGACCTTTGTCGGCCAGTCCACTCAGGAGGTATACCCTCTTTTTCAAGGGTATTCTTTGAAGAAAGAAACAGGTTTTCCTATGGTAAATATCTCCATGGTCGCCAAAGACAACAAACGCCTTACTCTAGGGGTTGATTCCCCATTTCTTTCAACCATCGCTCTTTTACAAAACCGGATCTGTTTCCAACCTGGGAAAAGAAAAACGGATCCCTGGATTCAGAATGGAAATGGAAGGTAGCCCCAGCTAGGTTTACGTGCAGTTTACAGCCTCGCGGCATTGGAAGCTTCTGGCGCGCTGAGTCCGATCCCGGCCTTGTCCAGAAACTCGATCCTAGGTCTTCCAGCAATTGGTGCCCTTGAATCCCCTTCCTTTGGTTGGGGTAGGGTTCAACCCTACGAACATTTCGGACTACAGGAAAAGAGATCGGGTACCAACTTATATTCTCTCAATCCTGGAGGACCGATCTTTGGCAATCCGATCTGGTCCTTTGGTTTGCGAAAAGGAGTCCCCTTTGTGTGTGTGTGTGTGTCGTCTTTTTCTGTTTTCCTGGGGGTAAACATATTTAATTTTCGGAGTTTCGGGACTTGATCCGCGCTTCTTGGGGCTACCATTTCGGTGCTAAAGACTCATACCTGGAGTCTCCATGACCCTTAAAAAATGGATCCATGACCCCATTATTTTGGGTAATGACCCCATTTTTTAAGTGTCATGGAGACTCCAGGTACTTCCTGATGTCCAGATCGGCAAATGAAGAGAGCAACATCGTGGTGGTACTGTGGATGGACAAAATCCATTTCGCACCACCTAAGCAACCATGAGAACCCATTGTTTGTTGGTATTGACAGGGGAATCAACATTCCAGGGTTTCTTAGGTGGTGCGAAATGGATTTCGCAGCCATCCACAGTATCCCCCCCTTTCCCTTCCCAAAGTGTCTGATCTTTCCTGGAGCCTACACCCTACACCCATCACCCACTTGTTTTAGGGTATCATGTCAACCCTTTTCTAAAAAAGAGGTGTTTATCATGGAAAACCAGTCTTATTCAAAAACTACCCTAACTTTCGAAAGAGGGGGTATTTGGAGTAGAGAAATGAGGGGGTCTTTTTTGCCAGTTCTGGGTTTCATGTAGTGCTTCAGATTGTGAGACTTCGCAAAAAGCATTGGGCCCAACAAAAGGGTCCTCTGCGGGGTGTTCGGGGGTTTCAATGTGGTTCATTTGTTCGAGACACGATACCTTTTTGTTGGGTTTCCAAGGGGAACTCAACAGGAAAACCCACCTACTGTGGATTGATGAAATCCATTTCGCACCACGTAAGAAAACCCTGGTTTCTGATTCGATTCCCCTGTAAATGCCACAACAAATGTATGGTTTCAACCATGGGTTTATTTCGTGGTGCCTGAGCGGATCTCGCAACCGTCCACTGTATGGCCACGCTGCCGAGAGTTCCGCACGCTCCGAGCAAGTTGCGAGGGTGCAACTTGTTTTGAGGTCACTGAGCCATTCATGATATCAGGGTCCATCTTATATATATATACACACGCGAACACCCCCCTCCCATTCCAAGTGATTTTTTGTGTGCAGATGACTGATGCTTTGATGCTTAGGGGGTCTCCTATGATGCATCTATGTTTCTTACCCAATTGATGATCAGCTTTTAGAGCATTCCATGATCTTCGCACATATGATGGTCAATCTTCATTGCAACCCGTAAAATGGATTTGGCCAACCACTTCGCACCAGGCAGGTGGAATAGCCCAGTATTCAACCGGCATTCATCCAAAGGAATTGTGTCATCATGAGCCATGGTCAATATGGGTGTGTCATTGTTTCATTTGAGGGTACTTTTTGGGATGGTTTTCAACGGAAATGAAGGGGAACACCACACACTTTGTTGAGGGCCCAACATTCTAGGGGTTGGTTCCCCATTCTCTTTGACCATTGTTCTTTTTGAGCACCAGCTGTTTTCCCCAGGTTTCTGGAGGTTTTCTAGAAAGAAGGATCCCTGGATAGAAACACAAAAAATGGCGAGCCGCCCCTTTTTTTGCGTTGCCTGACCTCTTCGGTGATCCACCCCCATGACTTGTTTTTTGGGTGAGCGAGGCCAGAGGAATGCGCGACGTTGAGCAGTGGGCAGACCTGGTGCCAGAAGGGCTGCTTTGCCCTTCGGAAGTTCAACCTGCCGGTGGTTAAAATGAAAGCTAGGTCCACGAGCTGCCTGCCCAACAAGAAACGGTTCAACGCTCCCATTTTCTAATGGGATCAGTTCCACCAAAGATCCCACCCAGACCCTCAGGGAGTTGTTTTGCTTTTTGTGTGGGGAACTAGGTGCCTAGGTGCACTTACAGGCCCTTTTTTGGTTGGGTTGGTTGGGGACAAAAATAGACGAAAGAAGGAAGGGTACCGACTTATTCTATCCTGTCTACTCAAAAGCCTAGAAAAGGGAGCCAAGTGGATAGAATCTATAGCGGAAAGAGAGAGAGGAGCTATCGAAGAAAGCCAAGGAGCTAAAGAGTTGCTGAGCCGATCGGAGTTCTGGTTAGGGACAGGGTAGTCAACGCGATCCACCTCTTGAAGCGATAACATCGGGGTTTGATGAAAGGGGTTTTTGACCACACACACATGTAACCTGACATCTTTGAGACTTCCCCAACTGTGTTTGCTTGCTTGTTTGCTTGCTTGTTTGCTTGCTTTGTTTGTTTCTTTGATTTCTTTGTGGGGAACGCCTCTTGGTTGGTTCCTCTTTGGCAAACCAAGCCAGGCTTCTGGGGATTCACTTTGAGACGCATCCACACGACCTCCTTGCACCTCCAATTTCTCCTGAAACGATCGCCACTTTTCGGGGGAATCCAAAAAAGGGAAATGGCTCGGCGACGCCGTAAAATGGAAGCTAAACCGCCTAAGTCTTATGAGCAGGTAGTCTCCTTAACATGCAACCAGAATGTCAATGGACAGCAGTGAATTGATCAACTGTTGATTTGGGAAGTTCAGCGACAGCTCACTTGTTTTACATTCCCTCGATGGCATACGTGTTTAGTATGTGACTTTTCTGTTTGAACCCAAAACATGGCGGTTGTGCTTCGAAAACTTGCCGGGAGCTTGATTGGGAATTGGAAAGGCTGGCTCTTTCACGTTTAGCAGGTTCCCTTTTTGCCCCTTTTGGCGGTTTTAAACATCACGTTTTGGTCCATTTCAGATCTGCGTCCATGTCGGAGGGTATGTTCCAACAGCCCAACCGATAGCCCGTTCCCATGTCGGGTTGCTCGCCGAATTTCGGACATGAACAACTTGGCTGGTTCCGAAGCATTCTGTTTTCCTTTCTGACATAGATTTTTGCCCAAGCGGACAAACGGGGGATTCTTCCAACCGCCGTCACCCCTGAGTTCATGGAAACATTGTTGCAAACCATTCTCCCGTATACAGTCGATTCCAGGGCCACCTAAATGGTGGTCAAATTACCCCAGTGTCCTAAACTCTCTACATGAATTCCCTTGTGTACCAAAGAAGAGGAAGCCCACGTTGGGTCTTTTGGCCATGTCACATGTGGCTTTTTGAAAAACCCAAACCGAGGTCTCCTGGGTCCAAAGCATCTTCTCTTTGCGGATAGACAAACAGCTTCATGGATCGGAATCTGAAAGTTTTACTTAACTTTCAGATTCTAGTCCCTAAATCTGCGTGTTTACCCTGAAAAAGAGAACATGCCTTGGACCTGAAGCGTTTTTTTATTTTGTTTTTCTGCGCCTTAGATCTGGGCCAAGTGAAACGCAGGGCAAAACCCTCAGCGGGTGCATCAAACATCTCAGGCCATGTCGCTGGTATCGCCGCTGGCCTGTGGCAGCGTCCTCTTCTTGGTGAAGGACGGCGTCACGACGTCACGACGTCACGACGTCGGGTGCGACCCGTGTGACCCCTGGGAGTTCCTGGACTTGATCGTCACTTTTTGGGACAATGGACCATTTCCTAGGTCCCCCAGCAATTGGTGCCCTTTTCTCTCCCTGTTTTTGGTTGGGAGGGTTCCCCTACAAAAAATTGGACTACAGAAAAAAAAGAGGAAATGGTACCCTTATTCTAACCTCTCGACTGGAGGACCTAGTTTCAGTGGCATACAAGAAGGCTGAATATACTTCTTCTTTTTTCGGCCGGTCCACTCAAAATGTGAGTGTGTCTTCTTTAATCGAGCAATTGAGCCAACAAAAGTTGGTGAGGATTTGGGCTCCCAAAACCAAGACAGGTCTATCTATGGGGGCCCGTAGGCTTTTGGATCTCCGCCTGTTTTCCGGTTGCCCATAGATCAAAAAGAAGAAGGTAAAGAAGCTTTGCCCCGCAGAAGCAGAGGGCCTGCTTGAGCAATGTCTAGGTCCCCCAGCAATTGGTGGGGTCCCTTTCTCACGGTTCCTTTTTTGGTTGGGGTAGGGTTCCCCCAGCGAAAATCTGGACAGAAAAAAGCAACGCTAGCAGCTTCTATCCTAGCCTCTCAAATCTGGAGGACCGGGAATGCCTTCCAAAGCGACCGGGACGGCGGGTCTGCCCAGCGTTTCCCTTTAGAATCAGCGGAAAGGGGAGTTTGGGTGTGGGGCAAAATTCATTCAACAGGATGTGGACCGCAGAGTTGAGTCCTGGGCCCCATTTACCAGGCTTCTATTTTGGGTACCCATTTTTGACCCACAGCCATTTGGCTCTGGAGAGCAAGAAAATACAAGTTCTACAAGTTTGGCTTTGCTGGTCTTTCGCAAGCGCAAGCGGACAAAAAGCACGGAGGCACGACACTCAGTAAATGCTTAGCCTGGTTACAACCCACCAAAGCCATGGTTTTAAGCCAAGTGAGTTGCAACTGGGGGTTGCCACTTAAGCACCCCGCCTCTACGGGCTTACACTCAAGCACAAAGCCATGATTGCAAAAAATGGAAATTCAGAGGGTGTCCTCATGTCCTTGCAATATGGTCGGTCATGCGCCAACACCACTTCCAGGGGTTTGTTCTATAGGTTTGTTCTACTTCCCTGGCGTGACATTCTAGGGAAATTACCTGACATAGTCCAAAGCAACCTGGTTTGTGCTGATTCTGGAGGTTTCGGGGACGAAAAAAAACCCTTGTCCCATCACAAGGGTCTTCATTCAGGACAGATGCCTAGGTCCCCTTTTACATCCTTTTACCCTTTTCTGGGGGAGGGTTCCCCTACTAAAATAGACTACGGAAAATAAGGGTACCCTTATTCTAACCTCTCTACTGGAGGACCTAGGATACTGTATCCTTGCATGTCATGAGCAAAAATGAGCTTGTGGTGCATGTTTCCTTATTGTTGGTTTACTTGCATGCCATGGATCCGCATTTCTTTCACCCCCGAGAGGCTCCTGGGGCTTTCAATGGAAGACCCGACCCCTCCATTAGACACCCCGCTTCGGTGGTTGGGGGTCTCAAAAGCAGTTTGTTTGAACGGTTTGAAGGCCAACTAAATCCATCGAATTGGAGCCTCTGGGCCTTGTTGTTCAAATTGCCATGGGTCAAAAATGGGTATCCATTTTGGAGCCCTAGTAAATGGAGCCAAGGACTAAAACCTGCGGTGCCCTGGTGCTTTAATTTTGACCCATACCCAAATATTTCTCAGGACATCTACGTGCTGGAGCTGGCGGCGGACGTGCACGTCATGGCGGCGGTGGGCTCGGTGGTGGCGGTTTGGGGCCCTGCCAGCTACCTGCTGGCAGGCGATTTCTCGACGTGTCGTGGGGTCCGCTGGGTGAAGGGTCCCATGGGATCTCATTGTCTGCATTTTTTGTTTGCAATATGTGCAAAACCTGAAAAAAAGGATCCCCGAGTAAAGGATCTTTAGTATGGTGAGCTCGTTTCATGGGATAAAACCCATCTGCAACTTTTTACCATATGGCTGTGGTTGTCAAACCCAATGGGATCCCATTTTGGGGGTTTTGGGTGAATTCACCACCCATTTTAGTCGGGATTTTAGTGGGGATTGGTTGATGTTCACTGGGAAGACCCAGCTGCAACTTTTCCCGTGTTGTTTTGTTTTTTCCCGCGTGCGAGATCTTGCGAAGGGTGCCTTGGTATGCCATCCCTTCAGAAGCTTCTACGGTCCCCCAGCAATTGGTGCCCTTTCTCACCAACTTTTTTGGTTGGGAGGGTTCCCCCACAATAGAGTACAGAAGAAAGAAACGGTACCCTTATTCTAAGCTCTCAAATCTGGAGGACCTAGACCATATGGCCGTGGTTGTCAAACATAGGGTAACCCCAAAATGGCTTGCCGGGCACATGGACGAACGCCTGCGGAGTTTGTGTGGTTTAATTTTGACACGCAGCCATATGTCCAAGACCTGAAAGAAAGGATCCACGAAGGATCTTTAGTATGCGCTGTTAGTATTTGGCCACCCCCAAACTCCCGAAGGTCGCGGACGTGCTCAGAGACCCGGATTCGTTCGTTCGAGCTCGTTTTAGTTGGAGGTGAGCTCGCCAGAAATTATGCAGCTTATGGTCTGCGGAGTTTATGGCGAGCTCACTTGGGAACAGTACGAGCGAAAGCCATGATGTAGGTCCTTGAATTCTTGGGGATCTCTTACTTCATGTTTTGGAATTATTGCAAATGTTGCATATCCTTTGTGCGGGGGATTTTAGTTCTCTTGAACATTATGGTCGGGGTTGGGGTGGTAGACCAAAGGCACAGCTCTCAAGAGAACGTGAGGGAGAGGGGAGAGCATGATCCGTTGAGCAAAGGCTTCGCTCTTAGAAATGATTAGACTGTTGGTCTTAGAAAAGGCTTAGAGCTTTGAACAACAAATCTATTTTTGGCTTTCTAAAGGCTTACTTTTTAAACACCATGTTCCCTTTATCAAAACGTTAAGTCACTTCTTGCAGGGTGGATCTGTCTGGACCGGAAAGGAGGCCCACCACTGTGCCCAAGATCTCGGCCTAGTGTCACAGGTGGTTTTTCAATCCAACACCTGGGGCTTCCTCCCAAATGATCTCGCCTATGGACCGGAATCTGACATCATATATGTTTTCCCCCGAATGTCGGCCAATTATGAAGGGTGATGACTAGCAAAGTGTGGGGGGACAGCGGGATTGTGGGCTCCAGCGGCTGTCGGTCCTAGTAAGGTGCGGATAGGTGTTCTTAGGTCAGTGTGAACAAACCGCTGGCACCATTACTTCGACCGGGGCCGTCAAATTCTGCCACTAGGTCCCCCAGTAGTGCCCTTCTCTCCCCTTTTTTGGTTGGGAGGGGTCCCCTACTATTCCGACCTCTCAAATCTGGAGGATCTAAGTTGGACCAGAGCGGGTTTGTCCGGGTCGCTGGGCTTTGAGCTGGCCTTCCAGTAGCTTTGTCCGGCCTTGCGGCTTTGCGAAATCGATGGGCGAAATCGAATTCACTTTTCACCACAGCAGACAGGAGGTTCTTGGATGTTTGTGACTGCCTTTTTTCAAGCTTCTGGTCGGTAAACCTTTGGCGAGTTTTCGCCAGCTGGTTGTTGCCTTGCCCTTTCTTTTGCAAGCAAACCAATCTTCAATGTCGCAAGCTTTACGAAATCCTTTGCCTGGAATCTCTCTTGAATGGGGTTGCCTTTTACCCCTTTGGCAAACAGCAGAACCGAGGCCCACAATTTTCTTTTCCAGACCGGTCACTCATCGACTCGACTCATTCCTCCACTCTCCCGCCAGGGTACTGCCTGGAGAAGGGTCTGCTGGGCCGCTGGTTCCCCTGGGCCACCTGGGGCCGCCGGGCCCCCTGGTTCCTCACCCACTGCGCCGCCTGCGCGGTGACCACCGCCGCACTGCCCCCTCGATGCATCGAGTCGGAAGTCGGAAGTCGAGTCGATTTACATCGAGTGGGAGGTGGGGTTGGGGGAATCCCTTCCATTTAGGTTTAGAATATTTTGTGAATTGGATTTTCCCCCTGTGGGCTTTAAAGGGAATCGATTCACATATGTGACATGTGTCTTTTTTCCAGGGGCGAAGAAGCAAATGGAGGATCCGATTTCGATTGGGTACCCAACTAGGTCCCCCAGCAATTGGTACCCTTTCTCACCCCTTTTGGTTGGGAGAGTTCCCCTATAGACTACAGAAAAAAAGAACGGTACCAACTTATTCGAACCTCTCAAATCTGGAGGATGAAGAATAGCCTTGAACTATTTCTGGGACCTTTTGGGGCAACTGAGAAATGTGGTAAGTAGGTTTGCGTTTGGGACCCGTGATGTGTAGACAGGAGCACATCCACTGCCAACGCATGCGTTGCAATTCTGCAGAGGCACTATCCTGGAACCAGCGGAAGGTGGATCCTCAAGTGGATGTTTCTCAAAGCGGAGGGCCAAAGATGGGCTGTTTGGTGCCACGCAAACCGCCCTTTTTCTCACCCTTTCGAGACTCCCATGCACACCTGTCCCAGGCACCGTTGTGCACCGGCGCTGACAGGGGGTCTCCTCCCCCAAATTGAGCAAGTCTTGTTTTTGTGTGTTGGAGTGGACGAAATCTGGAAGAGAGTCAGAGATGATGTTCGGTCCTCTCAGATGGTCTGCCGTGGGCTGTGAGAAACCGTGAGTGCCCAGGTTGGTTGACCTCGCCGGTTCGGTTTGGACCCATTTTCCTGACCCCTAACAAGGGTGCCGGCTGGTGGATGGGAACGTTGTTGTTTTTGTTTAATGTATTTTTTGGGGGGCAAATGAAAACCGCGTTGCACTCAGTGGGGACCAGTTGCAACAATCAGCAGGTTCGGCCGCCCTTTGATGTTTGGTCTGTTTTTCTGCACATGTTTTGAGTCGGGCCCAGTGTACACCAAACTGTGAGTATGACTCCAGTTGCACCGCAACCTCACAAAGGTTTGGAGGGTGGGCAATTGCCAGAACCCTTTGACGAACTCTTTGTTCCAGGTTCAAACCCCCCAACTGGTGGGAGGTCTTAGCAAGCTTTGTTTGAAGAACTAGACTTGGACCTGGGCCGATTCAACAATTCATACAAGGGTGGCAATAGGTACTAGGTCCCCCAGTAGTGCCCTTCTCTCCCCTTTTTTGGTTGGGAGGGCTCCCCTATATACTAGAATAGACTACAGACAAAAGGGTACCCTTATTCGAACCTCTCTACTGGAGGACCTAGGTTACACACTTTATCTCCTGTGATGAGGTAATTAGCGTCGTGTAGTGGTGGCCCACGACCCCGTTTCACTGAAATTTAGGCCCTTCAACTGGCATCCAGCTGAACAATTTGTGGTTTGCGAGCCAATCACCGAGTGCAGCCGCGCGAGAGAAATGCCATGGTTCTGGGCATTGCAACCACCCAATTAGAGGCTAAGTGCGCCTGGTAAGGCTGATTAGGGGCGAACAGGGATCCTTTTGAGTGCCTGTTTTGGGGTCTTCTCTTGGGGGTGTCTGACATGGAAAAAGTGTAGGGTTGAACATGGCGATTCGGTCTTTGGTGCGACTCGACCAACGCGCCGTCACCTTGTCAACTGGCACGAAATCATACCAAACAAAGCGGATGGACCTGTTCCCCGTTCCCCAGTCAGGGGTTCTGCCCCCTTTGCTGTCAACTTTCCAGAGGGTCCAAGTGCCTCATGTTTCTCGTTTTGTGGATTTCAGGAATCTGTAATTCATGAACACCCTTGAACCCAAACCCCTTGGTACTTTGGACCCATGGGCCTCAGGTATTTGCCTCCCTCCTGGGACCCCATCGCCCTGTGCGTGTGGTACCTCGTCTGGGGCTGCCTTTCTGCCTGGTTTCTGGCGGCGCCTCGGTCTCGCTCAATTTAAGAGGCGACAAGTGTCAGGCGCCCGTCTCGGACGGGTTTTTGGAGTCTCCTTGAAACATGAGTCGTCGTCTGCCCGGGGTCACGGCCACATTGAAGCTAGGTCCCCTTGTACCGTTTCTGTTTTGGGGGAGGGTTCCCCGACTCAAGTAGGCTACAGAAAACAGGGTACCCTTATTCTAACCTCTATACAGGGCCTAGATGAGTCGTCACCTTCCTGGGGTCGTGGTGCATAGAAAAGCGTCGTGAAAACTCCGGGTATCCTTTTTCAGGCTGCTTTGGACCAATGCGAAGCTTGGATTGGTCCCAGTTTTCCCGCGAGCCCGCCACCTTGAAGCATTGAAGCTGGTTCAACTTGCATCTGTCGTTTTGGGCGTGCCGTGAAAGGGAACCTAAAGGGGAAACAAACCGATTTTTGGGGTTTCCTGAATTAGAGCCCGACTGCGGATGCGTGGATATCCAACGATTTGGTTTGGTTTGGAGTGGCTTGGAGTTGGGAATCTGGCCACTCAACCTAACAAACTCGCCCAAGCGGAGCCCCGTTCTGTGAAATGACGCGGGGAAACGATGTGCTTTTCTTTGGATGAAATGCGCAGCAGTGTTTTTTTCAGGCAATCCTTGGTGGTTCCGACTGGCGGTTTGGGCATGTGAAACAAGATCTCTAGGGGTTCCTTCCCCATGCTTTCAGGGATCCTTCTTTCTAGAAAACCCCGACACCCAGGGAAAACGGATCCGGTTTATGAAAAGAACGATGGTTGAAAAGAATGGTTGGAATCATCTTGCACTCACTTCCTGAGTTCCTGGACTGAACCAGAAAAATAATGATGTTGGAATCAACCCCTAGAAAATCCAGATGGCTGGCCCATCCCGCGGGAAGTGTTTTCTTCGCACCGCCCGAGGTACAGTTCACCTGTTTCGAGTCTTCCCGTGCGGAGATCTACCCGACCAAGGCCGGACAAGTGGCGCGCTCCGGCGCGCTCGGGGTCCGACGTGGTTTCTGGCAGGTCGCTTTTTGGAGTGATTCAACTTTCTTAATTAGGGTTGGTTCCAATTCTAGGTCCCGCAGTAGTCCCCTTTCTCACTTTTTTTGGGGAGGGTTCCCCTACTAAAATAGACTACAGAAAAAAGTTGGTACCCTTATTTTAATGCTTTTATTGGAGGACCGAGACATTTTTGGGTTGGTTCCAATTGATTAACTGAGCAAGTTCCCTCGCCTTGAAAGGGGAACCAAGTTGTTCAAAGGAGGGTGCGTCAAGTCTCAACATGTTTACGGCTTGGCCCTGCCGGGTGCTCCTTTGATGGAATTGATCCGAAGGGACAACACCTTTGTTTCAGTTGGTATCCCGCAATGGTTTCTTGAATTGGGAACAAAAGGAAAAAGCCCCCTTTTTCAACTATCCGGTTTTGTTTGGGTTGTTTGAAGAGGAACCATGTCTTGCTTCAGGTGGATCGGACGCCAGAGGAAAGCTACCAAATGAGACTGAGAATTCTGGTTGCAACACAGAACCGACTCTATGAGTCTCCTAGAGAAGGCATCTGTTTTGGTAATTCTGGCACGTGTCAAAAATTGGACCCTTCTGCGGGACCCTGGCAAATATGGCACAAGTCGGGCTAATTCAGGATTTTGTCCACCCACACTCGGATCTTTATGGCTGTTTGGTAACGGATTTTTGAACTCTATATTTTTGGGTGGATTGATTTGTTCCATTGCATCCACCCAGAGTCTTCTTCGTTGACACAGTGGATTGATTTGTTCCATTGCATCCAAACAGAGTGGTGTATTGTTTGCAGAGGGGTGGTTGCAGCCACCAAGGGATGTCGCGGATTCGATTCGCAAGGAGGAACGCAGCGAGACGGAGACCTTGTGCAAGATGAGCTCTGGACTAGGCCGGACAAAATGCACAAGCCATAGTCACTTTGAGGGGTCCATGGGTGGATTCACATGTTTTTGTTTCTTTTTTTTCTTGTTTTTTTTTTTGGGGGGGGGACTTGTTGTTTGGTGGTTTTAAAGGGAAACCAAGAGGAAAACTGTTGCGCCAGGTTGGGGATTCTACAAAAGACACTCCCATATGGGTTCACGTGCGGGCCTAGGAATTGAGTCTTCGCAAGAAGCACTCGGTTCATGAATATGGTTGCCTTCGGGGAGATTTCCCTGCAAATGACCACGGGAATCTTGAGGATGTCACTTTGATGGACCCAACACCCGAAGAAATGAGCGGCTTCATTGAAAAGTCGGCATGCGTGGGTCCTGTTGAGAATGTTCAGAGGGTTGCAACACAATCGACCGATTCGGGTAGATGAAGTTTGGTAGGATAGTCCCAACCATATCTGGGCGTAGATTTCAGTTGACCCTTTGGAGACTTATGTCCACCCGGTATTGAAATTTATTTTCCCGCTCCGCGCCGGCTTCGCATGTCGCGCGGGATGGATGGGTTGGAAAACCGAACGGGACCACTTTGGGGTAGAGGGCTCGATTGGTATGTCCCAGTCCCTGGCCCAAGGGCCTCATGAGATGATGAGAATCTATCTAGGACTTGGTCGGGATTGGGCCCATTTTATTGGCTCCCCAATGGTCATGGCAAGACATGGGCCATCTATGTTTTCGATTCCAGCCGGTTGCAGCTTAACACTGGACGGCCTTGAGGCTTGCAACCTGTCTATGGGGATGACATTGGGACCATGGGATATACACTCATAAGTCTGAGAACAGCATGAAACCAAAGTCGCAGTGTTTAGCCAACATCTGGTTTGGTCGCCGCAGTTCAGAGCTTGGTTGCCGCAGTGCTTCAGGGTTTTTCAAGACATGGAACCAGCAAAAAGCTGAACTCAAGACCCACCGTGGCGCTGGGAAACCCAGCGGGCTTGCACCTAGCACTGTCACCAGTCAGGGTGTGTGGTGCCTGATGGGTTTCCTTGAGGGCTCAGTCCACCAGGTTGCTTTCTTTCCCTATTGCAGGCAGTACTTCTCAGTTTCTCAAAAAAAATGGTGGCTGGGGATTTCCTTTGGAATCAACTACTCCGGGTCCCTTTCTCCATTTTCTGAAAAATGTAAACCCCACGAAGCTGTTCCCCAAGATAATTCCTCCTTTCCCCCCCCCCGAAACGGGGTTTCATTTCCCCACGGCTTTTCCATTCATCAATCCCAAAACGAGTGCATTTGGCAGGGTGCGGGGTTTCCCTGTAGAGTCACCCCCGCAAAAAACCGAGTGCCAACCTTTCCCAGCAACAAGTCCACGGCTCCTTCGGCTTTCCATCGAGGCAACGCCTTGGGCTTGGTGCCACAACTCGTGGTCGCGGCCAATGCCACCCGCCCCAAAAACGACCACGGCTGGTTTGCCTGGGGCTGGGGTGGTTGCGCTTTTCGTTGCTCGTGCGCGATAGCCAGGGAATGCCAATGACGAGTCCGGGTGCAATGAACCGATTTGGGGGGTTCCCTTATTTGAGGAAACCGCCAGTTGGATGGTTTTTCTTGGGGTCATTCCATTTCTTCTCCTTCAGGACCAGCAAGTTTTGTTGCTCACACCCATAGTTCTGTTTCGGACTTTAGTGGGGTTGCCAAATTAGGAAACGACCAGAGGAGACAACTTTTACAACCGGCTTGTACTGCTGAATGCCCCAATCCCTTGCGAAAGTGGACAATGTGTTGTATGCTAGCAACAACGCAAACAGAAACAGTTGTTGTTTTTCTTGGAAACACAACGAAACACATTCAAAGCACGGGCCGGTTCTTTGCACCCGAGAAGAAGAACCAGAACTTCAACCAAATCAACCAACAGCTTTGCTCTAAAACCCAGGCCCCAATGGCCATAGGAAAAGAAACTGCACTGCTTTGTTTGGTAGTTCATTGTCAACGAAATCCCCCTACAAAAAAGGGTTGAGAAAGAAGGAGAGGCAAGCCACTGGCGGGGAAACAAATGAGCAGAGCCAATCCTCACTTCCTGAGTTGAGGTGTACAAAACACATTGAGCCATGTTCCGTTGTCTTGCAATAATTCCCTTCTTCGGCCGCACAAAAAGCAGGCCGACATTTCGTGCTGCAAACAAAAAGGAACAACTCATCAACGGACACTTGGACGGGCGAGTTTCTTCCTGGCGGATGAGTTTCGACGGCTGGGTTTCCCACGGGTTTCCGACTAAGTCCCCCAGTGCCCTTCTCTCCCAACTTTTTTTGGGGGAGGGTTCCCCTGCTGAAATCGACTAAAAAAGAAGAAAAACTCGGGTACCAACTTATCCTAACCAACCTCAACTGGAGGACCTAGAATTTGGTTTCCCTTGAAAGCCCGGTTGGAAGCCCCCCCAAAAAAACACGTTGAAGCAATGCCTCAACTGGAGGTTTCGGACACTGGAGGATCGAGACGTTTTTGGGGTTTCCAATTGATTAACTGAGCAAGCCCCCTCGCCTTGAAAGGGGAACCAAGTTAGTTCAAAGGAGGGTGCGTCAAGTCTCAACATGTTTGCGGCTTGGCCCTGCCGGGTGCCTTTGGAGTTGATCCGAAGAAGCAACACCTTTGTGTCAGTTGGTATCCCGCAATGGTTTCTTGAATTCGGAACAAAAGGGGACTCCCCTTTTTCAGCTCTCCGGTTTGGGTTTGAAGAGGAACCCATGTCTTGTTTTGGTTTGGTTTCGTTGGTTTCCAGGTCACCCGGCTCTCCTTGTCCCTGGCGGGTCTCGCCTTCCTGGCCACCGGCCTGGTGTCCTTGATCTCCATCCCGGTGCTGAGGTCCGGTTTGTCGGTCGGTCGTGTTCCACTAAACCCCCAAAAGCTAAACTTTTTGCAGGGGGTCAACAGCAACCAAGGAGAGGCCCCAGATCTCCCCCAGGTACGTTTTCAGCATCGCCTCTTGGGGCAGGTTGCTTTTTTAGTTTTGTTTTGTTTTGCAAACAAACGTCCCTTTGGTAGATGTTGGAGTTCACCTTGGGCACTTCAAGGTGAGCTTCCTTTTTGGAGTGATGCTTAGGAGGATATAGGGCGCCGTGTAAAGTGGCTGTAGCTGAGTCCCCAAACCTCGCAATCGAACACTGATTGGGGTAGATGAGGTTTGGCAGGGGGACAGTCCCAACGAAAAATCCTTTGACGGTTCGTCGAAAGCCCGACATTTATGTCCACCAGCCGCTTGTCAGAGAGTTCCCTCTTGAACCTCATGGCCAAAAACACATCCTCAAATGATGGGGTCCGCCCCAGGCATTTCTCCAGGACTTTCCATTTTTTAAGCACCCTGTACCTTAATAAGTCGACGAAGGGGATCAACATCAACCACCCCGAATTCCATCATGGCATGTCTCCGACCACTTCGGGGCGCCAAGCCCTCAGCCCTCAGCCTCGGATTGGCTCTTCCTTTGAACGAGTCGCTCTTTTTCGCCAGGCCAGCGGGCTCGGGGAGAGGTCAAAAAGGCGAAAGGAGAAGAGCAAAAAAGAAAAAGCTCCAGGTGGTATGCCCACAAATCCATACACCACAACCATTTCACCACCGCAAAGTGACTTGAACCCGGGGGTTCGCCCCAAAGCAACAACACCATCGAGGAATCAATCATCAACCTGGCTTTAAGTCTAGTTCGGGGAGGGGTAGTTTCAGGTATGGAAGTTGATGAGGAAACTTGTGGTTTTCAAGTTTGGTTTCTGTTCAAAACAGCCTCCCCAAAGCGTACCAACACGGTGTGAACCTATTTGGGCAAATGAACCCGCTTGACCAGCGATAGGTGGGCTTGTGGCTGCGACCGATTTCGCCCATGTTCGCGCGAAGGAAGTCCTACGTCCGAGTTTTGGAATTGGGTTTTGCTCACCTTCTCGACATTCATATAGGTATTTCTCAAGAAAAAGGCGAGCTCTCCAGGTGGTTTCCTTTCGGCTTCCCTTTAAAGCTATTCGAAAAGGGGCCCGATTCCAATTTTGAGCTACCCCCCATTTTGCCTTTTAGGGTTCCATTCGTTTCTTCGCAGAAAACGCAAGGCACCCAACTTGAAGGCGCCCCTCAAGCGCCTCGCCTCACGTGCGCGCGCAGGCAAGCAAAGCGCGCCTTCGACCCCAGGGCCATTTCCGGGTGCTTTGCCTGGGAGTACCTCGAGGCGCTTCGAGATTCGGGCCACCTCCTCGTTGAGTCTAGTACCACGTGTGACAACCCCAGACGTAAACCCAGGGGTTCACACCCCCAGAAGGAGAACCCCTAGGTTTCTGTCCATCTTCGGGTCAAGAAGTGGAACTCTGTTCGCAAAGGCTAGGGGACAGACCTCTAGGCTTTTCGTGGCTATTTCGATTCTGTGGACAAAATCTGTAGGTGGGATGAATGAAACCATGTAACCACCGGGAGAAGCTACCAGCTGGTGCGGGATTGGGTCCACAAAGCACCTCAAAAGTGGTGAACTTGAAAGGGTCCCGTATCAAGATTCACCCGCAGAAAAAGCACTGGGCTTGGGTTTGCCTTCGGGGTGGTTTTGCTTCCGGGGCAAAAGGCCTTGGAGCTATGTATTATATGTGGGGTGACTTTTCAGAAAACCACCCAAAATGAACGGTGTTCCTCGTGGTTCCTCTGTAAACCCGCAAAACAGGGGGTACCCTCAAAAAAAGACCCATATTGTGGATGGGAAACCAGATGCCAATCGGCACTAGTTGGGATAGATGAAAGCCAAGTTGAATACCCGGGGGGGGGGTCCACCAGCTGGTGCAGAATTTTTTTTCATTCATTGTTGATCAACCAGTAACCAGCATCCAAAGCTTCATCCATCCCAAGTGGTGCAACTGCCAAGCATGTTGGGAATAGTGCAAACATGTGAGGTATGTAATTAAGGGAAACCCCGCTTCGTCTTATTAACCAGGGACGAAATCCAACACAACTTGGCATGGGCGAACCGGCGAACCCCTATGTGAAACTCCCAACTGCCGATTTTTCTTCGTGGATTTTGGTCCCTCAGCCACTTGCCTGACGTGAAGGTCGCAAAGCGAGCTCATGAAGGACTTCGCGTAAACTCCTTCAGATCGCCCCAAACCCTGCGTTCACTTGGACAATAAAGCCTCTCACCCATGTAGTCATCTTGGTATAAACAAAAACACGAAACAGTCACTGGGCTTTGATGGCGACTCAGGTCTGATTTGTTTTGGGCGGTCAGCCTTGGCATTGGGCTAGAAAACTGGGGCTCTCCATACTGTGGATGGTGGTGAAATCCATTTCGCACCACCGTTCAGAAACCCTGGAATGGTTCAATTCAATTCCCCAACGTAAATGCCAAGAAACCTTATGGTTTCCTTCCCATGGTGCGAGACGAGACGCGGATTTCAAGATTTCAACCATCTACAGTAAGAATGCTTTGTTGCATTTTGCTTGGATGTTAGGACTTTCACTTTTTGCCAACTAATGGGTTTTCCATTAAACCACTAAAAGCTTTCAACTTTTAGCAGGGGAGCAGAAAGCAACCGAGAACGTGACAGGTGCTGAGACAGCCCGCCTTCCTGCTGCTGTGCATGTACCGCTTTTTCGACGGCGCCATCAACACCCTGTGCCTCGGTCCCAAAACGACGAGTCGAGTCGAGTCAGCGAGGCGAAGGAGTTTTCGGTTCCAGTTGAGGGGTTCTCAGAATATGGGTTGCTCGTCTTTTTTAAGGTTGGACCCCCCCAAATGGTTGGTTTTCCTTATGGTCTCCCTTTTAATACCCAACCAAAAACAGGTACCCTCAAAGAATGTTGCTGGTTTCCGTTTGTTTCCCTTCAAGTACCAACCAAAAGGGGTCCGCCATTTGAGCAGCGGCTTTGATGAGAAGGGTTTACGCAAAAGGAGAACTGCATGTACTCTGTGGTTTTGGGGGCGCAGGCTCGCCTGCCAAATCGGAGATTTGCCGTACGGAGGTCAGTTGCAGGGTCTCCTGCAAAGAACAACATATTCTAGGGTCGACTTCCCCTCCCACCCATCAACATGGAACCTGACGTTTGGGGGGTCCTGGAATTTTCCTTTTAAAGGGCCCCTTGTCAGTTTCCACATCTTATTGGAGTAGCCCAGCGGGCCAATTGAGGGTACTCTCAAGCTGAGCTTTCCTGAAAACTGCACAGCTGAAATAAAATGGCTGTGGGTCAAAACCCTCTACCAGTGGTGAACCTCAAAATAGGTGGCAAATGGAGGTTCATCCACCCCAAAATGGAGATGGGATCGCCATAGGTTATGCCACCCATGGCCAAATGGCAACTGATTCCCAGGCCGTTGCGGCTTCAAAGCGAGGGGGGAGGTGCGCAACAGACGGAGCTCCAAATGTGAACCGCCAGCCAAAAGGGCAAAGGCCGCTGGTCTCATGTCCTTCAGGCGAACTTGGCGTCAGTTGGCACCGGTTGGTCTCCTTTCCCTTTCCTTTGCCCTCCCTCCCACGTTGCTATGGCACCTGACAGAGGATCCTTTGAAGAGGAGATTGATCTTCCAGGTGCCCTCCCATAAGTGAGAGGAGGAGTACCAACCGACAAGGGGTAACAGAGAGTTCACGAATTCTGGTGTCTTGGTCTAGTTTTTTTTTACGATTAAGGTAAGCCAGAGGTCCATTTCCTCACTTCAAGCCGAACCCTTTTTTGCGCCGGGGTCGAAAGACCGCTGCTGCCGGGGATTCGCGGGGATGGTCAAACGACCCCTGGATAGGGTTTTTTGATAAACCTGGGAGTCTCCATGACCCTCCAAGAACGGCGCCATGACCCGTTTCTTTTGGGCAATGCCCCCGGTTTTTAACGAGGAATCTTCCTTTTCATTAAGCACCAATAAGCTTCCACTTGCTTAAGAATATGTTTTTTTCCCCTGTTGGTTTTAAAGAGAATCTATCACTATTGGACATATTTCTATTTTTTCCAGGCGTCTTAACCAAATGGAAGTAAGGCTTCCTTTCAGGGAAAAACACCACCCAAAGGACTTCCGACCATGAGACAAATGGCCATGAATCCAAAATGGCACCATTGGTTTTGACCCAGGAGCCAAATGGCCGAGGTTGGTTAATGGCGCTCTGTACTACTTCACCTTTGTCAGCGGCTTCAGCGCTGGGGAACGGTCCTGGTACATCTCCTTGACAGGCCGGTTGCACCCCCCTTTGGCGCTATGCTGGACCTTCTAGGTCCCCCAGCTAGGTGCCCTTCTTTACTAACTTTTTGGATGGGAGGGTTAAATAGACTACAGAAAAAAGAAACGGTACCAACTTATTCTAACCTCCCCACTGGAGGACCCAGCATTGTACCCGGCTGTACCCCCATTGGAAAACCACCCCGCCTCTGTTGGACTATATGGCTATGATACCCTCAAATGTACAGATGAGACACGGTCAAAAGTTGATCAATCCAACCAGATGTGGTCACTCTATGTGCATTGAGTCACCTGTCGCGTTCCAAGAGGGTACCCTTTCTTGTGCTTTTTAAGGAAAACCGACAAGAACACCACAACATTCAGGGGTCCCCGAAAAAGAGAACATGATAAAGTCTGACCCCGTCTCACAGCTGAACCGCGAATAGGGGCACCTTGTGGCATGCACACGTAGAGGTGGCCGGTGTCCGGTTTTCCGCTTTCCCTTCAAAGACTTTCCTATTTTGGCGCAACGGAAACCCAGTGGATAGTGGTCACAGGGGCAAGCCGGCAAACCTATGGGAGTTTCAGCAAACTAAGGGCTTCAGGATCCCAACTTCTTCTGATTCAAGCTAGGGCCCTTCGTAATTTTTGGAGAGCTGGGCAAAACGGGAAGGGAGTTCCGATCCGGAAGATTTGGTGCGAAGCGAAGGTCCCCCGCTGCAAGCGCAGTTGCGCCAGAAGGACAAAGCAAGAAGTGTTTGACCTGGCTCCCCAAAGATTTGGACAGGAGATTCCTCTCCGAATCTGTCTCCAAAATGAGTCCATGTCGGCTAGGAAGCTATGGGGAGGGGGCGAATGATTCTGAACCCCATTGCATCTCCGAACTCCCACTCAAAAAGCTACTCCCCCGCAAACAAACATAGCACCCACAAACAGGAAGCACACTATTTTCAACATAGCCACCGGGCACCGGTTCAGTGCCCGGTTTTGCGGAAGGGATCGATGAGCCTGGCTTAGAGGAATCTGCTCGGACTTGGGCCCCGGACTTGGGGTCCTTCCGTGAACATTTGCAGGGGGAGATGTCCTTTAAGGTTAGGTTGCTTAGTAGATGGGAACTGGTTTAGATGGTGTGTGCCCCATTTACCAGGGAGAAATCCATTTCTGGTGCTGGATGCATGGCAGGGGGTGGGTGTCTATGTTACCCCCCCCCCTTCCGGGCTCCACGGATGGCCAGCCGCCCGCTTTGAGCTTTCAGGTGCGGCTCAAGGTGCTACGACCTTCCTCCTGCTGCCCGCGGCTCGATGCGGTTAGGGTGAGAGGTGGTGAGTGGCGAAGGGGTTTGTGGATGGTTTCGCGAAATCCGCTTCTCGCACCTCCTCAGCGCTTTTCTAGGATGATCTCCCAACGTAAATACCAAGAAACGTGATGGTTTTTTTAGTGATGCAGGAGTTCGTCCATCCACAGTATGGGTGATCCAAGTGGGGTTTTTAGCCCAAGACGTGGAGTCTGCTCGAATGAAATCCTTTCAACATGGCTAATCATTGTGGGTTATCGTGGAGTTGGTCCCCTTTGTACACTCCCTCCAACAATCATATGGACGACAGGGTTTTACTTCTTTTGGGGAAGCCATGTCCAATTCCACGGATTGTTGGAAGGAGGATCATTTTTTGGAGGGGGATGCCCAGCATTCCATTTTTAACAGCCCATGCTTGACATTTTGTAAAATACTATTTCCTTCCATTTGTTTACGAGTATTTTGTTATTTTCCCCTGTTGGTTTTCAAAGGAATCGATCACTACTGGACATATTTGTATTTTTTCCAGGCGGCTTAAGAAATGGTATTGCGCAGGAACCAGCTGGATCAAACCATGCGAAGACTGGTTCAGCAACCGCCTACCAACCGGTGCGAAATGGATTTTGTGCCTCCACGATAGCAGACCGGGGTTTCTCAAAACAGCCCCAAAATTTATCATTTGGCTGTGGGTCAAAACCGTTTGGATCCCATTTTGGGGGGTGCATCACTCATTTTAGTCTATTTTAGTGGGGATTTTGATGTTCACTGCGGGTACGGGCTTTTGACCCATGGCCATTTCCTTTTGGTGTCTGCCGTTTTGAGACACTCTCAGACGCTTCCACTTGGGGGTCTTTGGGTTTGTCCGAAAATAGGAATGGAACCACCAGCAAGAGTGGTGATGTGCTAGTGTTTCTTTAACACGAACCAACCATGGCTACCCTCAGAATATGGCAATGATTCAAGGGCTTTTTCAGTGTGGGTTTTGGAGATATAGAGGTTTCGTGCTGAACCGAGGCCAGAACAATTCCGGGGCGAGCAAACCAACACCAACTCAACCACTTTGGGTGTGTGCTTTTTCTTTTACCACCCCCGAAAATTGCGGTTTTCTTTTGGTTTCTCTTGAAAACATCGAGGCAACAGGCATGGTGGTGTTCCTTTGATTTCCCTTTGGCACCAACCAAAAGGACCACCCACTCCGAAAAAATCTCCGCGCCGAAGGTGTGGACCATCTTCTTCCGGAAGAGGCGGAAGGTGAACATCTCCAAGGCGCGGGGGTCGAATTTGCACTCGCTAAAACCGGGGCGGTTCAGTGATAGAACAAAGGTCCAGTGGTGCCCTTGAATCCCCTTTCTTGGTTGGGAGATTCGGTTCCCCTCCTAAAATTTTGACTACAGAAAAAAGAAAGGGTACCAACTTATTCTAACCAACCTCAACTGGAGGACCTTGATATTCCGAATGGTTGATTTCCACATCATTATTTTTCTGGTTCTCAGGAAGTAACGACTCAAACAATGGAAGACTGACTCAGCGAATAGAATAGAACACGGACTCAGAGGATAGAACACCGACTCTTGAAACTTGTGGCTCCTTGTTGGTTTCCATTGCTTTATGGCTATTTGGTGGCGTATCTTTGGACTTTCAAGCTGTTTGGTTGAACCGTGGATTTCTTCCGTCGGACCCCTAAAACTGCACTTTTAGCAGAGGGGTCGTTGCAGCAACCAAGTCATTTGCAACTATTTTTGGACTGAGACCAAAAGGAAGCCGTTGCATTTTTTTGGGGGGCAATCCACTTCGCATGACCTGGGATGCATAAATCCCCGTAAATAGTGGGTTTGACAACCTGCCAAGCGCAGGATTTATCAATCAATAGTATGGCTATGCATTTTCATAGAGACCCTTCGAAAGTGAGAGGTTGGACACGAGGAGGTCAACTAAAACCATGCCTATATCTCCCTTTGAAGCTATCCAGACACCGGGGCTTCATTGGAACAGGCAGAACCCTCCATTGGAAGGTTTTGGGAGTCTCACCTAGCTCCCTCAATTATTCGGGAGTTCTTGGGCTGCCAACACATCCCGTTTTGGACAAATGCCACTATGCCACTGAGTTTCCTTTGTTCAAGCAGGTACATAGGCCTTTCTTGGAAAGAACACTTTGGTGGATGACCCAACATTTCCGTTGTCAACTTGTGTGGGCAAGGCGTGAGCGCTCCTCCATGCCTCTGATCGCTCCAACGAGAGAACCTCTGTAGCAGTGGCGAATGTTGGATTAAAGCCCCCTAACAACTCCTACTGGCACTTGCTGTATCTCTATTCACCACTTACTCTCCCACCAATGAACATGGAACCTGACAGGGGGTCCCTTCAAAAGCAATATGGTCGTTCAGGACCCCCGTGAGGTTCCATGTTTATTGATGAGGGAGGGTACCTGCTCATCTCGTATCCCTGGTTGTAGCCCATGGGTAGCCAGGGCCAGTCCCTTGTGACGTGTTTGAAGCACTAAACCACCGCCCTTGGGCTTTCCTTAGAGGCTGGTTGTTCAATCATTTTATTCTCAAAGGGCTGGGTTGCAGGAAATTCTACAGGAAAACCTATTTACGGTGATTTGGGGCCATTTCCTGCACATGTTCCTATAACCATACCCTTTGATTTTCCCGAAACCTGGTCATAACGAAAGTTCTCTAACCACCTACAAAGCAGACAATCCCTTGGAGCTTTTTCGTTTCCGTTTTTCCTTTTATTTTCCCTTGCAACCAATAAACTCACGTGTTCTCAGAAAATGGAATTTGGGAATGCACCTATTCCATTGGTTTGTATTCGCAGGTCTTAACCCCTTGGTATTTCCTAAGAACGAGTAGGCCAAAAGCTTTCACGTTCGCTTGGAACCTGCTTCGCGGGCTCCAAACAGGTTGCGATCGCTAACACAGCGAATTCAACGGCTCACCGAAGTTCATGGCTTCCCGGGTTGCTCATATGGAGGCAATGGTATGGAGTAACGGTTAGTTGCTCGGACAGTATAAGACCTCACCATCAAACAGGTTCCAATCTGGCCAGGTACCACCGGGACCGCCCAGCCGTCCCGTGCTGTTGAGCTCATATAGTTACTCTTGTTTGAGTCTGTTCAAACGCAAACCACCATGCCTAAACAGGGATCATTACGTTATACACCTGAACATTGCCTTGTAAATAGTGGTTTCCCTTTATTTTGGTGGAACAAGCCATGTTTCAAATGGCAAAATGTATCCTTTAAGGAGCCCTGCTAAACCTGTTTCAAAGGGAACCCATTCACCAAGTTGCCCGAATTCAAAGCCTGGTATTAGCACTGGTCTAACTAAACCACCAATGCCAGGTGCCAATCAACAAAAATGAGCGTGGGTTTCATTTTTGAGGGGTCACCCCATTTCTGCGCTGGAAGCGATCCCCTCACTCCCTGAGTTCATGGACTTCCTTTTAGTGGTAAATACTAGGCTCCGACTTTTTTTGGTCTCCTCAGGAGGCAGACCTTTTTGGCCAGTTCTCCTCCAGCGAAACATTTCGTGACCCCCAGCTCAGCGCGCACTCGAGAGCGTAGCTCCCGTGCAGACCGGAAGCTCACCGCAGCCGCTCGGCAGGTTTGCGCCGTTGCGCTGGGCGTGGGTCTGCTGGGCCCGCTGCTGCTGGCACTGCTGCAGGATTTGGTGCCACAGCCCTGGGGGTGCCTCCGATGTCAGAATGAGGGGAGGGGAGGGGAGGGGAGGGGAGGGGAGGGGAGGGGAGGGGAGGGGAGGGGATGGAGGGGGGGTGGGGGGTGGGGGGTAGGGGTGGAGGGTGGGGGGGGGTGGTGTTCCTTGACCTCAAAAAACCATACCCTCAAGAAGAGATGGATGAATTAGTCCGTTTAGGCCCCCAAATATCAAGATGAGGGGAGAAGAAGGTTCGATGTCAGGGGGGAGAAGGGGGGGGAAGAGGGGAGGAGGTGGTGTTCCTTTGCCTCAGAAGAACTACTACCCTCAACAAGGGGTTGAGTTTTAACATTCCACTTAGGGCCCCCAAATTTTAAAATGAGGGGAGGGGAGGGGAGGGGGTACTGCATGGGAATCCCAAAATTTAATCATTCTTCGAGAAAAGTTTGTTTGGGTGACCTCCATGCTAGTTTGCAGGGGAGTAAAGCGAGCAAAAACCATCCTTGACTTGGGGATACTTCAGGCGTTGCATGGCAAAGCGCAAAACCGGGGTCCATTGAAGTGACATGCTGAAAGTGACCCTTGAAATCTTTAGATGCATTTCCAGGGTTTGATTCCAGCCATTCTTTTCAACCATTGTTCTTTTCCAAACCGGATCCGTTTTCCTTGGGTTTCTTGTTCATTTTTAGAAAGAAGGATCCCTGGAAAGAACGCCATGAGATAGGTCCTCCATGAAGACCTGTTGGGGATTATTTCATGTTTATTAAATTATAGGATACATGCAGACGGTGTTGGTTTTTTTCAGGCAGCCATCAAGGTCGGTTTTTCCTGCACCGTAAAACAGATACACTCAACAAGACATCGGATCCAGCTGCTTGAATTCTTCGCACTCGAGAACAACTTAGCTAAGCTTCATCGACGCGGCACACACTTTGCTGGCGTGGCCTTCCATTTGTCCTGCAGCGGAAAGAAGAAGAACGCCAGACACAAAACTTGGCGGCTCCCAGCCACCTTAGCTTTTTGTTTTTTTTTGTTGGTTTAGTGGTTGGGTTTCCATTTACCCCACTATCAAAACTTTTAGCGGGGGATTTCAACACGGACGGCCCAGAAAAGTCTGCACTGAGGTTCTTGGTCTACTTTGTCTTCGTCGGGGGCTCCTTGACGGGGCAAACTTATTGGCGCTCCATTGCGCTATGCTGGACTCCTGGCAGAGACGGTTTTTTTGGGGACTGGGTGGTGGAGTTAATGTGTCCCTTTTGATAGTTAAAACAGTACCTTCTAGGTCCCCCAGTAGTGCCCTTTCACCCTTTTTGGGGGAGGGTTCCCTGCTAGAATAGACCACAGAAAATGGGGTACCCTTATTCTAACCTCTCTACTGGAGGACCTAGCCTTTTGGGCCTTTGAAAGAGTTTTCCCTTTGAGCGGGGTGATGTTTAAAGGGCAAATATAGGGAGCCCTGTCCTGTGATACCCCAAAAAGATTCCTTGACTGTTTCCAACGGGGGCGAGCATCCAGATTTCTAGCAAAATTCATCTCAAAAAGAACATGGGTTTACACCCTCGCCCTGCAAGGACGGCTTTTTAAGTCAAAGTTGGACAACTTGCATCCAATTTCTGCCAAAGGTACATACTAAATACTGGACTTAGCCATGGTTTTTGTAGTTCGGGGAACGTGGGCACCACTCTTCACTATTGTTGGCAAGTGTTTTTTTGGGTTGGTTGGTTCTGTTCGGGTTTAGCAAAGGGCTGCAAAAACCAAGGGTTGCAAAGAATTCCCCCACCGGGAATTGTGCCATTGACCAACTCCGCCTAGTGCAACCCACTTAAGCGCCTTGCTTTGAGGGGCTCGTTTGCAAGACTTGGGTTTGTGTGAAAAAACAAACCACATAGAAAGACAGAAAGAAAGAAAGAAAGAAAGAAAGAAAGAAAGAACAAAAGAAAGAAAGAAAGAAAGACAGAACAGAACAGAAAAGAAAAGAAAATAAATAAATAAATAAAGAAAGATAAACAACTTGAAGCAAAAACACATAACATCCCGCATAGGCACTGTTTTTTTGAGAAAAAGGACACAGGCCTATATGAGGGTTTCTCAAAGTCGGAGACCCCTTTCTTGATGGTTTTAAAGGAGGGTCCCCAGTTTTGAGAAACACCCACATACGCTTGCATCTGCTTAATAATATTGTTTATTTCCCCTATTTGGTCTTTGAGGGAATCTAGCACTACTGAATGAACACATTTTTTCTCAGTCTTTCCAGGGGGCGAAAAAGAAACGGACGTAGATTTCGAGCCCTACGGTGGATGCCTAAATATTGCAAGTAGAACAACAGCACTCAACCACAAAACCATTGTAAATTAGAGTCTGTTGAAGGGTGTCCTTGTTGCCCTACTTGCAATATTTAGGGCATCACTGTAGGGCTCGAAATCTGTCCAGTAGCGATAGATTCCCTTAAAGACCAATAGGGGAAACAAACAGTATTCTTAAGCAGATGCAAGCCTATGTGGGTGTTTCTCGAAATCGTTTGTTTTGTTTTTTGTGGTTGTTCTATTGGTTTCCCTGTAAAACCGTCCAGAAAGGGATCCCCGACTTTGAGTCATTGAGAAACCCTCATATAGGCCTGTGTCCTTTTTTCCTCTTAAAAAACAAAAAAAGACTCAAGAGAGGGGTTGTTCGATTTTGAGGGGCACCCGATGTTCCCGGCCCCACCCCGGTTCCTTGGTCCAGTTCGGCGCTTTTCCCCAGCTGAAAGCTTTGGGGTGGTTTAGCCCAGATAGGCTCCGGGGTGGTCCAGGGAGGCCCTGAGGGAAGGTTCCACCAGGGTTCCACGAGATTTCCACGAGGTTCTGCGAGGGGGGCTTGTTCGAGCACTAGAAAGGGCACCGCAGGCCGCATGCTGCTGGGGATATCACCTGAGCTTTTTGTTTTTCTCCTTTCGCCAGGATCGTGGACGAGGACTGCCAGGCCAAGGCGGGCCGCAGGCGCGAGGCTATCTTCGTGGGCTGCATCTCCTTGGTGTCGTCGGTGGGCCGCGCGCCCTGGCGGGACGTTAGACTTAGGGAACCCCTCCCCCCCAAATGAAAGAGCAAAACACAAGACAAACAAGTAAAAAGGTCCGTGTTGGGGGCAATTTGGGGGTTGATCGAAAAGGCACCCCCAGCTAGGTGCCTTTCTCTCCCAGCTTTTTGGTTGGGAGGGTTCCCCTACTAAAATTTTGACTACAGAAAATGGGTACCAACTTATTCTGACCTCTCAAATCTGGAGTACATAGTGAGGACTTGAGGGGTGGCGGGTTGGGGGGTGTTCGGGGGGGCAACTTTGCTCCGGGCTTCCCTGGAAAGCCGCGGGAAGAAGCAGGGTGGCCCTCGAAAAAAGATGAGGGGTGCTCTGTTTGACTCCGGATCACTTTTTGCGGGTGCTCCCTAATTGACTAGGTCTTTATTTGGGGTCATTCAGAAAGCAAAGATTGGAAGTTCCTACACAGGTCTTGGTGAGTGCCAAGCGTAGACCAAATCTGAAACATCATCATACCATGTTGTGTTGGGAGTGCGCCAGGTGTGGCCAAGGTCAAGGGAAGCTGAAGAAGGAACTCGTTTGAGGCACTTCCATCTATGACAAATGGTGCCTTGGTTGGGCGGCCCTTGGAGGATTTGCCTTAGGCTGGCTCAAAGGTTTGGTTCAAAAGCAAGTTGTGGTTGGTTGAACACGGGCCGCCTAAAACAAGCATTGCTTGGGGTTGTACTGAACTAACGCTTACGGTTCCCCCTCCCAACCCCTGTTCAGCTTTTCTCCCATCTTCGGGGCAAATCAATTTTGGGTCGAAAAAAAAGCCAAAGGGTGATCTCAAAAGGCAACTGGTTTCTTCGGACAGTTTTTCATTTCGAGCTTCCCTTTAAACTCCACTTCAGGTCACCCATGTTTTCGTGGTTTGGATTGGATGGTTTGGATTCGAAGACCCTAAATGAGTGGTTTGGATTGGGGCTTGCTTCGATTGGTGGTTTTGGTGGTTTGGATGGATTCGAAGCCTTGGTCTTTGTAGAGGCTACCAATAGGCCAAGGACCTTCGAAGCACGGGGCCATCCAAAGCTTCACTCCGGACTCGGAGCCTCAGCTCCGAGCTCTCCGAGCTCCGAGGCGGCGGCCTCGGGGGGCTTGCTCTTCGCGCTCTCCTTCGCGGGCCTGGAGGCGAACCGCTTTGCGTTTGCTTAGACCCACCCGACTTTTGGGGGGTGTTCCATGTACCTTGAAGTTGTGCTGGAGATTGGTGGAGCTGAGCTAGAGGTAGCCAGGTGGTGGTATTTAGCCCCAAGAATTCCTTTTCCAGGTGGTTGGGGGGTGTGGCCGAAATCCATTTCCCCCGGCGTCTTCTTGGGTTTGCACCCCACGGAATTTCTGTTTTTTTCCCGGTCCGCGAGGTGCGGAACTGCGCGGCGGAGTGCGCGGGTGCGGGGCAGAGCTGCCGAGGGGAGTGCGAGGAGAAGAACTTTGAGCAGCAGGACCCGGAGACCTCCGGCTTTTTGTTTCCTTTTCTTGTTGTTTTCTTCCGGAAAAAAAAAGAAAAGAGTTTAAACAAAAAAAGTGCTCACCTTCCTATTCTTTTTTTACTCACTTCCCGAGTTCCTGGACTTTAACTAGGTCCCCCGGCCAGGTGCCCTTGTCTCCCCTTTCTTGGTTGGGACGGTTCCCCTACTCAAATAGAGTACAGAAAAACGGGTACCCTTGTTCTAGCCTCTCTACTGCAGGACCTATATAGTTAAGCTTTTTGGGTTTGGAGTTCCTGGACTTGAAGTGAGTTTCACTTGCTGGTTCGAAGCCATCCTGGTTCCTGAGGTGTTCAGGTCTTTAGATGGTTTAGAGGTGGTTTCCGTTGAGCCACCAAAAGTTAAAGTTTTTCTAGGGGTTGATTTTCCATTGAGACCCCTGTACAAAAGACGACTTCCCTCTTGGAAAGGGCCTTTTTGCACTTCCATCTTAGTTGGTGGGAGGGTAGCCTTCCTGGGTTGATTCCAACCATTCTGTTCAACCATGGTTCTTTCCAAAATCCGGATCCGTTTTCCCTGGGTTTCCGGAGGTTTTGTGGAAAGAAGGATCGGATCCCTGGAAAGAATGGAAATGGAAGGTACCCCTAGAGTTTTCGCAGGGGATCTGGGAACAGCCGAGTTAAGTGAGTCCCCTTGGCAGTGGTTTTATGAAGGGATTATGGATTAGGATTGGCCAACGTCCAGAATCCATGAGTGGGATTCGGTTGGTCTTTTCGAAGGCCATCCTTCCGTTCAAAGGCACTCCTTAAGAGGATTTTAGGGTTAACCTTGGGGTGATCCACTTCGTGGTTGGCCGAAGTAGTAGACTTGGAGTGGGATTTATCCCATATAACCCACTTTAGGTGACCTATTGGGCCAATATCCATCCTGCTTTTTGTAGTTTCCTTCTTGGACGACCACTGCATGCCAGATAAGCGGATAATATCCAAGATCCCCAAGTGAGGCAGAAGCGGAAGTCCCGTTTAGGTGTCTTATAAGCCGCCCTTGAAAGGGGGGCCCTGATATGTATATATATATATATACCGCATGCCGCAAAGCAACCGAGCCCGCACCTGATATGGGAACTGAAGGTGGGTCCAACGGGAGCCCTACCAGGTGTTGACTTTTGATTGTTCTTGAGACTGAGACCTCTGAAATTCGGGTACCCTCCCACCAATTGACATGGAACTTGACAGGGGGTGCCTTGAAAAGGACAATGGTAACCAGGCTTCCCCTGTCAGGTTGTATGTTCATTGGTGGGATTCAATTGGTGGTTTATATAGGTTTGGGGATTGGAACCCCTGGCTTTTGTAGAGGGCAACTGGGGGGACGCTATCAGCACTCTTGCCTTTAGTGAGCCCGCGTCCAAATCATCCTTGTTTGGCCTTCCACCTTTCTCAGTGCAAACCACAAGGGAAGGAAACTGGTAGGGGTCAGTGATCAACATTCCATCCCGATTTGGAGCAGTTCCGGTCGAATGTTAGCAACAAGGTGTGACCAAAGCACATATATAAGGGTCTGTCTCTTGTGGAGGTACCTCCTTTTTGTGCGGCTTTAAGGGGGTCCCCGAAAGGTCAACCACCTGTGTGGGGGTAGTCCCCTTTTACCCTTTTTTAGGAGAGGGTTCACCTACTAAAATAGACTACAGAAGAAAACAAGTTGGTACCCTTATTCTAACCAACCTCAACTGGAGGACCAAGAAGGTGATA